GAGGCGAGACGAAAAATCTCTTTAATCTAGTCTTTAGGTATATTATTATTTTGTATAATGTAAGGCATAAGGGCATGGCACTCTCAGGCATAATTCCTCCTGTGAAAAACCAAATATTGCCTTTTTTCATTTTTTCTTTCTTTTTTTTAAAGGCAGTGACCTTATTGGTCTTTAAAAAACCGTGAGTCAAGAACCCGCAGGCCATGAGCAGCGGCGACCCCCATGTGGTCTTGGCTTGTTTAATATAATTGCCAAAAATACCCAATTTCCAGATTTTCCACACTATTATTGAATAATAAAACATTCTTTTTGTACTTTTTACAACTACACCATGCTAGTAGTCCTTTCAGAAAATATGTTATTAACCAAAAAATTCAGATCAATATCAGGGGGTATAAGCAGGGTGAGAAGTGTTGTAGCAATATTGCCTTATATATGTCACCTCTCCGTGGAAAATTAAGAATTCCTAATCGTGCTGTGGCCCTACAAGTAACATATTACTTGCCCCAGAGGTTTTAAAGGAACAGTATTAATTTTATACTTACTCGTTAGTATGTTTTAAAATGAAAATATTGATTAGTATAATTGCCACAATTAGTGCCTCCAAATAATAATAATAATAATATATGAAATAGTATTTTAATTATTTATTTAATTTAATGTTTATTGGAAAAGAAATCAAAACAATAATTTAATTTTTTATCATTTTTTTTATTAATTGTTTTTACTTTACAATGAAATTATTAATACTTAATATAAATTTCACCTGTATAAAATAAAATATAACTCAAAAGAAAATAAATTTATTTAATTAATAACCAGCCATAAATGTAAAATGGAAAATAAGGAAAACAGATCTAAATACCTTATGAAACGACAACCATTCTTCTAGGGCGTAGGGGAGAGAATGAGTTATCTAGCTTTCTGACCCTCTGTCCCATTGTGCTCCATCCAGGTTGTTTTTGTTTTAATTTTCGAATTAATTTCCCTATTAGTTACTTAAATTTAATTACATTTGTTCTAATTTTATTTTTTACACCTTTTTATTTATTTAGTATTTAATTATTCAATATTATTATATTACTAATTTATTATCATTTTTATGTATTCCATTGTTTTGAAGCAACTCTCTATAATGAAAGATGTTACAAAACTCGTACGACTTAAGGGGGCGACAGCATTTTAGGTGAAAATGGATGAACTAGGTTTTCATAGGTTCTAAGTTTAGTGATTTATATGGTATTATATTATGTGATAATTATTTAATAGAATGTAAAGTTTAAATAGATGAAGGTGATGCTGTTGAATCTTATATCTTGAAGACTTGATTTGAGTCTTTGAGTTGGTTTTCCATTGTTTCTTCCCGGGCATAGGCATTGCTGTATGAAGTTGAACCCCACGTTTCCTCTGGGTTATAGAAGATCTCGTTTAGGATATTAATCGTTTAACGTATCCTCTGGGTTGTATTGGGTTGTCCGGAAAATAATGCAGGATTTTAAGTTTTCATTAAAAAAAATCTATATAAAATATTCTGTTTACGTTTACAGGATTACTCATTTGTATNTTTGATTAAAGAACATTGCTTTAAAGTAACTAGTTTCTTTTTTTTTGTTTAATACCAAAATCCTGCATTATTTTCCGGACAACCCAATAGAAGATCCAGTTTATGATGTTGATTGTCCGACGTAACCTCTGAGCTGTTGATTTTCTAAGCTTCTTGAATGGTGTAGGCACTCCAGTTGGGATGTTGAACCTCCGACCTTCTCTGGGCAGTAGCTTGTCCGTTAAGTTGATCGTCTAACTTTTCCACTGGGCTTGATTTTGCACGCTTCCAGAATGTTGATTTAGCCAGAAGGTAGTAATAACACTAGTTTTGCTAGTGTAATTTCGTAGACGGTCCGAAAGAACTGATAGACTGTCCAAGTAGTATCCAGTTGTCAACGATATGATATTTGAGATCAGGGATGATAGGAACAGAAAGGTAATAATCCAAATAATAATAATGTGCGGTTTTAACCGACGGAGGACCACCCGAATGTAATCGGGAGGCGTGGAAAAAATATAAAATAAAATAAAACAGTTTTAAAATAAAAAATGATTGAAATATAAAATAAAGAAATGAAATAATAAAGACTCACCAAGCTGATGTTGTGGCGAATGATAAAGGTGGATAGGAAATAGAAGGATCCAGGAGCGATGAAAAATAGGGTATTTGGGGAGGACGGCCCACTTACAAGTATTTACCAGCAACTCCGGCGTTTTGGCGAGGTGTAAAATCAATCAAGAAAAAATTCCAAGCGTTGCTAGAAGAGATTTTACAGAAAGCGGTCTGTAGAAAAGCGTTTGCGGGTTCACACAAAAAATAGAAAAAATGGAAAGCGGAGCGTGCTGAAACGAACCAGGCTCCATAAAAGCGACTGATGTGTGGTACCCGGAGTGGGGCGGCCAATCCTTTAGACCGGCTTCCCGGTATAGGATAATAAGTAAATAATAAACAAAATAGGCGGTTCTTTAAAATAAAAATGAAAATCCGAACAAATAATATATGATAGACATCACAATTAATAGTATTTTAATTGTTTATTTTATTTAATTTTTATTGGAAAAGAAATCAAAATAATAATTTAATTTTTTATAATCTTTTTATTAATTGTTCTTACCTTACAATGTCATTCAACATTATATTATTACTAATTTATTATCATTTTTAATGTATTCCATATTTTTGGAGCATCTCTTTGTTAGGGATGTTACATATGTCACGTTCAGATTTAAATGAACCGCCATGCCCCTCCACAATCCAACAGTAAAAGGAGTAGGGGCCAAGAAAGGGCTATTTTTTCCAAGTCCTAGGACATATCCCTTTCTGGCTTGTGTGGGTAAACAGCTATTGTTGGTAAAAAGAAAAATTTGGTGTGCACACTATTCAAGTGAGTTAATTTTTATTACTTTGACGTCAAAATAAAAAATAATAATTGTAATTTAGCTTTAAAAGGGTATATATTTTTATTTAAAATAATAAAAGAAATAATATTTCATTTTAAAAGTTGTTAAATATTTTAATTGTATTTTCTAATTTGGTGGTCAAAATTTTAATAATAATAATAATAATAAATAATAATAATTTCTTTACCTTTCTTTATGGAACTATAAAACGATAATCAAATTCCATTTTAAAATTAAGGTTTGTAGATTTGAGATAGGTTTGTTATAGGATAAAAGGATTATTTAAATTAAAAATAATAATATATTGTCATTTTATGTGAAAATAAATTGTAATTAAAGATTCAAATTTAACAAACATTTGGAGTCGTATTTACTTTGGTTTAAATGAAATATAAAAGGTGCCTAATCGATAAATGAAATAATTGTAGTCAGGTTCGATCGTAAAAAACCTCTGGGACCTTGTTTTCGGTTTTCCGAATTCAGGGTTGGTCCCAACAAAAAAGAAGAAGAAACACGCTATATCACACATATATTACGGTCAAATCGTAATATTGTGCTTGTAAAAACATCATTCATTCAACGTCAAAGCCCTACTACAATGGGCAAATATCGGTCGTCCCGTTTCTCTGACCAATCATGTAGGTCTGAATTTGGCGGGATATTCCGAGTTTTCTAAAGGTAGAGGCTTAAGGTGACATTGTCGCTGATAAACCGCGAATGGTACAAATATTAAGCCTGTCTTAAACCTTTGAATAATTCAGAATCACTTACCTGAAAGTCGGCGATTTGATCGAGGCTCATTTTGAATGCTGGTAGATTTTGGTAAAGCTGCAAAACCAATATATGCTTGGGCCAAATTTGTAGATCCTGAAAAATGGCGGACATCAAAATTGTTGTTAAAATCGTTCAATATTTAGACTAAATTTTGTCTAATGGTAAAAGTGTCGGTATTTCAGGCAAGTAGGTTGTTTTCCAAGCAATGGAATAAAACGAATATGATCACAACTCAATTTCAATACAACAATTGCTAAATTTTGTTCTATTCTGTTGTTAAATAAGTAGCACATTAAATTAATCATTTATGTTTGCAATTGGCTCTCCACAGTCTTAAGTGTTTGTACTAAGTAGGATGATTTCTAAGAACTATAAAACCAATGTGTTTACAATTCTATTTCAAATAAAAAAATTGCTCACTTTTGTCATATTCTGTTGATAAATAAGTAAAATATATAAGAGCAATTTTTTTTTAAGAGGAGCTTTCAAAAACATAGTTGTTTGGGACAACTGATGAATAATTTTGTTAAGGAGAGAAGAGAGCGTGTTTGCCCCGACTAGACATGGCAGCAAACATAATTGATTGTAGATCAAGGTGTACTTGTTTATTAATTGTGCAATAAATAACATAAAATTTTCTTTGACTTTATTTTAAAATACTGACAAACATTACAGCAAACGGACAATTGAAGTACTGCTGTCAAACGATACTGCAAGTTTTAAATTAACCTTTATGCTCGACTGTTGGCTTAGATGTAACGAGGCTTAACTGAGCGCTATCTAACCGCGTATTCAGTGAGTTAGATTAACTATTTTAAGTTTCTATCTTAAACTCGCGGTCTGTTTAAATGCAAGGGTACCAGACAAGTAGAATCGAGTAAGTGGCTTCTTTTCTGTGACAATTGTTATTTTTTTAATAATACGGAGAAGTGAAACAAAGTTAATATTACAGGGTTTTTTCGAGAAGGGTACGTGTTTTATATGTAAAAGCTGTTGATTGTAAATAGTAATTTAAAATATACAACATTTAAAAAGAAAATTGACATTGAAAAGTGGCTATCTGACCTTCAACTGAGTCAAACTTACAATCAAGAAACTGAAAGAGAATGTTTCAATAAATAAAAATATGATGGTTTTTTAAGTTTCAAATAAAATTTAATCGCTTGTAAATGTGTGTATCTTAACGTTTTAAACTCCAATGCAATCTGACACGCCATTACAAAAAGAAAATGATTTAAAAATGATTTTTGTGTGTGATTTGTGAATTATTTATGTTTCAGCTCAAGTGGCTCGTGTCATAAAGTTCTGGTCGATTCCAATGATATCCACGGGAGGTCTCACATTCGACTTCTCCAAACCCAAGACTGAGCCCGAAACCGAATTCTTCCTACTCGTACGTCTCGGTATGCTCGATTTCTTGAAGATGTCGCTTGCATTAGTGTCCATTTTCGAAAGGTATGTTTCCCTAGTAGAATGCAAGTAAATTTAGTCGATGATACAGACACACACTATCAAGCTGCAAAAACTATCAACGAATCCTTATTTTAGTTTGTTAATATAATCATAAAAACTTAAATATTGAAATGCAAAAGCAACTTGACCAATACGTACCATTTCGTACATTGTGCTAAATTAAAAACTGATATTTGCGCGTTTTCTAGTTAATTATTAAAAACTGCCAATAGTTTAAAATGCCAAAGTACCGAGTTATTTAATTTGGTACGGACGTGACCCGGCAACATTTTTCTTCGGTGTTGAATGTTCGACCTTGCAAAAAGGAAACAGTGTAAGTAAATAAGCGATATCCGAAGGGGCGAGGTCCGGGTTCGAATTAAAATTCTTGTTCAGTAATGTTTCAGGTTTGACCTTTTGTGAAGTATGTGACTTCCTACAGTATTGTTCTAGAACATTTTTACGTTGAACTAACCAATATTGAAAAAAATACAAAGTGAACCAAAGTCCCAACATTTTTTGGGGGAAGTGCCAGAAATTACAGGTGCGATGGTGGGAATCAAACACACGATTACTGAGTCTGCGAATCCCGAGTCGACGCCCTAACCTCTCGACTGCCGCGGGCCGCTGTAACTTATTATTCACTTTTTAATATTTGACCAAGAAATAAGAGTGCCCGAATTTTGTATATCAAGTCACACCGGAGGCGCATAGTTCCTGATGACCCGCTTGGTACCAACTGCCTACAGCAATAGTGATAGTAGTTTCAGCAAAGCAACATAGCCTGTCACCAGTTGTGTTGATCGTATACCACCTGTGTGGCCCTAGGCTAAGTCGAAGGAGTAAAAACAAAACCCCAGTGGAATTTTGAAGGTACTACATAGTCGACTATGTTTCCAAATTTATCGCCAAAATCGCCAAACATTTTACCAAACTCCTCTCTAAACGTCTGTATTAAGTAATCATGAACGCCATGATCCAAATCTTAAATTTATACTACTAAAACAAGAAATTCGGAATTTTCATTGTTTATAAGTCATCCCGTACGCCAACGAGAAAAAATATGTTGGTATTGAGCTACCAATGAAAGTAGCTAAATAGAATGACTAGTTTTAGGGGCGCCGAAATGACCAAAGAAGTCGATGGCGCCCGAATAGAGCCCAACCTCGGAATCGCTCAGGCACCAAGGTGGGTGACGCCCCCTAATCCATCAGGGAGAGGCCAGAGGCCTCCTAGGAGGTCTCGTAATTATATTTCTATTGGTTTGAATAGTTGATGGGCACAACTCTCCATGGCACAATGAAAGTAGCTCTTACCATAACAAATTGTTAAACTTAATATATAACTGATATTTGGTCAAGCGGACCACGAAATGTTTAAACTTTACTTTAACTTAAACCAAACCATTCAGCAGGTACATAAGAGAATCCTGAGATGCAGTCAATGTACCCTGGTAAGGCAGAAATGAAGACTTCTACGATTACAACAAAAGTTAAAACATAAAAACAGAGGAAGCCTATAAAGCCGCATTAGCCCAGCATCAAAGACCTAAATTCTACGTCACCGTTTCTACGTTAACGCAGTTCACATGAATTAGTGGTGGTGCAATGATTGTGGTGAAGTTGTACATACCTAAAAACGAAAAAAATTACTTGTTAATGGGCAGGAACCCATTGAAAGTAGCACTTTACCAAAATGTCCTAAAGCCTGTGTTGATTTGTCGCATACATCTCTATTCTCTGGTTTTTTAGGATAAAATAGCGAGATACAGTTAATGCATCCTGGTAAGTCTGAAATGATGAACTTCACCGTGAAGTTAAAAATGGAAATTTAATGAAAGGTTTAAAGGCCGTGTCATTGTAGAAACAGATTACTTGTTAGACGTTAAACCAGGCGACTCAAGCCGTCAAGCCACATGACTTTTTGGTCGTGCAGTGATTGGGTGAAGTTGTAAATGACGAAGAACGAAAAAAAACCTTTATTGTGTATATAATATGTTATTTTATTATATATTACTTTTAAAAAATATTATATATTATCTGTGAATAAACAAGATCACAATATTAATGGAGCTCCCCACTTTTGAGGATTGAGGGAAAATTGCTTTTTTGTATCATTTTAAATGAGAAAAGGATGGTGATGGATATGAGAAAATTCTACTTTATACATAGACTTATGATCTGCTAATGTTACCGGAGGTCTTGTCGATCACTTTCAATGTAGAAATTTTTTTAAAGAAAAGCACGGAACTTAAAGTTTACCTCTAGAACAAACATGACCGTATCTTCTCATTCTTTTTTATCCATTGTATGCAAAATAAACATAAGCTTAAGTTGAAGTATCTCTAGAAAATAAAACACTTTTTTTGTGATGAGATCCCGCATTTTCTCGACATATTGAGCAGATAATTTTGATTCTTACATAAATTGTTACACAAAATGTATTTAAAGAACGTACATGGCAGCAATGGCAGAAGGAATGGAATGAATTGAAACAAGATATGAGAAATAAAGCTGATAGTTTTGGGCATCGGGCTTTTTCTTTTCTGGCGAGAAGATAAAAGAGACAATCTTGACTCGTCTGAGAACAGACAGAAAGCCTTGGGTTAGAATGGCTAGAGAATCACCTCCTCTTTGCAAACCAATAGGGAAATTCGATCAGCGTGCATACAATATGATCAGGTCAGACGACAGCACTGCCTAGCCAGTCAATCTTTGAAGGTTCATGGGAAGGATTCCTCGAGTATAGATGATCTGCTGTCTTTTACGAACCACTAAATTACTTAATGTAATTGCGACCACACTAGTCAATTGGATATGGGCGTCTTGCGTAACACTCTAGAAACCTCCGGCCACCACAGACCTCAGATCTAGAGGTACCTGAATGTCTGAATGAATGCAGTCGCATGCGGACCCGTCGGAAGAAAGCGTAATAACAAAGAAATACAGGTTAAGCATTTTTGAATTAATTGCATTGGGGGTGTAGTTGCGTCATCGGGGCACCCGACTATAAAAAAAACACTATCAGTCATGAAAATAATTACAGACAGTGTTTATAACTAAACATTTTAAAAGACAACATGGTTGTAGAATGTTTTACGCGATGATAAAACTTGTGAAAAGTCTCTTTGTCACTATCTTTATGGAAATTTGAACTGTTTAAAGTACTACTTTTTCAAATTCATTATTAATAATTAACTAACAAATAGATTAGCTAAACTAAAAAATAAGCTGGTTATTTAAACAATAATTGAATTGTCATTTTCATGTACCGAAGAAATAAAACGTCATGTAATTAATCTTGATTTGTCTGTTTCGTGCCATCAGGGCTAAATAAGGAAGTCTGTTTTTGTTATCAAAAGAATCGACAAGGTATCCCGAAGTATTTTGGAACGGAACTGAAAGAGGCAAATACATGTGTAGGATTATTCGTAATTTGGAAGGAGGTTGTTGAACAGCAAATCGTCCACCTTGTTTGCATCGTTACGAAAGGTTTTCAATTTGATTTTCTTCCCGTTTGTGAATCTACATAAAAAAATCGGTACTGTCTAACGATAATGGCGAAGTCCCTTACCCTTATTCGTGATTATTTGGGAAAAAAAGGACTTTCTTGTATAAGTACTTTTCATATCATTTTCGTAGAATATTAAGGGTAAAAGGATTTATAAAGAACGACGTTCACAATGATGGCCCCCTTTTTAAACTTTCCATTCGGCTTGTAATAAAGCTTAATTCATATATCCAAAATTAATAATTTTTTATAAGGGCGTTATTAAATTCTGAAGAAAAGTTAAAAGAATTTTGGGTTCTTTATACAAATCGTTGCAATATTTCACTCTCATTTCTTATATAAATTCTACTAAAAAATGCGATCAAAGAAGAAGGAAGTTACCGTTGAAAAGTTTCGAGCTTGCGATAAAAAACAAACAACTTTATTACTTACAGAATACATGGAATGACCACCTTGGAATATTTTATATAACTTTTAAATTAATTAACACTGCCTCGTCATATTTAAGTTATAATTAATCTCTTAATCTGACCGTGGAAAGTCTTCTTACTTCACTGCTTCGTTAGATTTCTTTCCTACTGGCATTGTTTTGTTACTTTCCAAACAAACAGATGAAAAGGTTAATTAATAAGGAACGGTGACAATGGCTCTGAGTATTAGGAGGACTTTATTATTTGGATATTGGAAGGATTAGTGAAGGCCCTTAGTTATAATCCGTTCGTTCAATGTTTCAATACAGTTATCTTTGCTAGTTTGTTTTCAGTCCATATGCTTGATTCTCTTCATATTTCGGAACCCACAATAATCATCTTCCGTGATAATATACAAATTAAAAATATTTTTATTGGAGATATAAGAGTTAATAAGACTATTATTTGCTAGCGGAACTGGATTCTGGGTTCGAAACCCTGCGTAGGCCGTGGTGTTTTAATTGAAATATGAAACATGCATTGTAAAGTGATTTGATAAAAAAAAATTCATACCTCAAGAAGAGATTTATCGCGTCAACCGAGGATCAGAGACTTCTGCGGTAATTTGCAGGTGTGCCACAGGGGCCAATACTTGCTCCGACGTTGTTTTTAATGTTTACTTCTGACGTACCTATGCAGATAACACCCCCTATATTAACAAGTAACCCCTTTTCAATACTTCTCTTATGTTAAAAAATCAATGTAAAAATTGAAAAATGGAGCCATCTTTGAAAGATAAAGTTTAACTACTCAATATATCAAGTCTTTACACTACGCCGCGAGGCTTGTCCAAGTACAAGGACCTGTACCCCAATTCGACAAAGTTATTTATTTAGAATTCGGAGAGTGACATGAATTCTACAAACACGTTTAAAAACAGACCCTTAACAGAGTATTTAAAATGCTTTACTACCTACTGAGCCGATGAAACTTACAATATCAAAACTTTCAACATATACAAAGTTGTACGGGTGTATTATTTACACACATACATATTATTTATATACATAATACATATTATTTACATGCACTGACAGGGAAAAAATTCCACTCACTTCTATTATAACTTGATTTGAAATATATTTATCAAAGGTTCACGTTTTTTAACGATTAATTGAGTTTTTGCCTAGAAGTAAAAACAAAATTTAAATAGCTAAGGAAAATGAAAAAGTAAAAAGACGGAGAGATAAAATTTGTTTTAATTAGATTTGTAATTGACATTTCATTCTCGAGTATTTTCTTCTTCTTCCTGAATTACATCTCGAAGACACCTCGGCATACTTTCTACCAGCCTGAAAATGTCTCTTTGCTGGAGGTTAGCCCATTCTTCACGAAGAGACTTTCGAGATCCTGGAGTGTATCAGGAAGGGATGGACATGTTCTTATTAGTCTTTTGACGTTATCCCATAAATGTTCGATGGGGTTTCAAGTCTGGAGGCCACGCTAAAACCCTGATCTTATGCTGTTGAAGGTGCGTTTGTACTATGCGAGCGACATGTGGAGGGCATTATGGTGCATTAGAATAGTATTGCCGCTGATTTCATCAAGGATTCATGATGTTCCAAAATTTCATCTACATAGCGCGTGGCCGTCAAAGACCCTCCACCAACAACAACCGACTCTGTGCGACTCTCCATAGAAATTCCCGCCCGCACCATCACTGAGCTACGTTGAAAAGGTTGGATCTGGGAAAAATCACAGGTTTCGTAAATTTCATTTCACCTTCTCCACACTCTTTCATGCCTATCTGGAGATCGTAGAACAAATCCACACTCATATGTAAAAAACAGCAGACCAATCGTCTAAAGACCAATAGCTGTGTTTTCGAGCAAATGGGAACCGTGCAACTTTGTGTGTTTTGGTCAATTCTGGTCCTCTTACGGGACGGAAAGCCATCATCCATACTGATCCAATCTTCTTCGAGCAGTGCGTTCAGAAATTTGGACACTTTGAACTTCCTGGAGCTGATGAATCGCTTAAACAACAGTAAGGATCCAGTTTCGCTAAAAACTCAAAGTCCAAAAACAGTTATCCTGTTACACCAGAACTGGGCCTTTGATTGTAGAACCCAGTTTCTCGAAAACGTCTAACGGCGTCTAGCAGAGTTTCGAAGGGAACTCCGATGGCAATAGCCGCATACCTGGTGGAAAGTACATCATCAATCAATAAGTGTCACACCACGAGCAACATCCTCAGCACTAAGTGGCATTTTTCAATTTTAAAAAAAAGTTTGCAATTAAGAAAACAAAGATGAAAACTAAACAGTTTATTGTTTCAGAATCAAATGGGACTGAATAAATATTTTAAATTTCGTAAAAAGTAAAGATTGAAAAATCATTTATCCTTATTTTGGATTAAGTATTAACTTGTTTACCTCTAATTGATATTCCTAATTTAAAACGTAGCACAAACAAATATTTATTGGTAAAAAGAATGAGACGAATTAAGGGCAGTATTTTCTTTTCGAAAAAATGAAGAAAAAAAATCAATTGGCTGGAATTTTTTGCCTGTCAGTGTATATGAAAGGATTTGCTCCGGATTGGAAAACATTGTAACTGTCCTAAAGTTAATTGAACATTCCAGGTACGGATGGCATCGAGTGCTTCTTGTGTACGAGAAGGACGGCTGCATGTGGCTCGCTGGAAAGTGGACATGCAAGCTCATGATGGAAACGCTCGTAGAACTTTTCAAGACGAAGGAAATCGTGTTCGACGCCATCGACATCAGTCGACACCGGGATATACCTCTTTACGAGATCCTCAATAGAGAAAACCTGAATTATTCAAGTAAGCCATACTGGTAGCCGGGTGTCATCACCCGAGAATAATGAGAGATCATATTTTGTCTAGATTAAAGAGCAAGATAATGTTATGTATGTTGACATGTTAGTTATATTTGTACAACCGCATTAAGCCTAGTTGAAGTAACCTAGCTTTGTCCTGTGTGCATGCGCTTGAAAACCCACCTACCTTAAAGTGCCCAATTGAATATTTAATTATGTAAACTTATTTTTTTAAAGCACCGTAATGCCGATTTGATAATTTTAATTAAAAAATTTGTGGAGTTTTTATTTTCCAGATTGTAAATCGAGGATGGACAAGGAAGCTAATACACACCAACAGACATTTGGTAAGTTAAATTAAAATTACATCAATATTAAATTTATTTATACGATTAAATAAATTAAAGCATGAAAGAAATGTTATATCATACTACGACCACCCCCTACGCTAAAATGCATATTAAAACGAGTTAAAATATAAATAAATAAAAATACCAAGAGGTAAATACACTTTCATTTTCGTTATATACAAAAGATCTATAGGTAGATTGTGTTGATAAAATAAGCTAAAATTTATTTAACTTAAAAAATGTAATAAATTTAATCGATCAGTTGGTAAAGAATGTGTTTATAACGTCCGCCCACTCTTTTCATACAGACCTTATCAACTAGATTTCTCTTATCAAAAAGTTTATATTGCTTATGGGTTAAAAAAATTTATTGACAAAAATTAATTTAGAAATTTAAACGAAAATAGCACCGCGGCGTTAAGGATATGAAAAGAAAAAAATGTGGGGAATATAAACAAAATACACATGAAACGAATAGACACTAATTTGGAGATAACATGAAGCCGTATTTTTTCTTAGTTATTGCATGGGAGTTAACAACATGTATTCTCCTCTAGACAATCGACATTGATCTCTTGTTAACCGTCCACCTTTTGAAAGTGATATTTTACTGGAGCATGTCCAGTAAATTTACATGTTAGGGTTTTTTATTTCTTTCTTTTGAGTAGGATTTCCTCTTTTTCCTATTATATTATTTTCGCGAGAAGACTTTTTTATTGCCTCATGCCTGACTTGCGTTCCCAGTATTTTTGGTGTTCTTTAGTAATCCAAGAAACTAATTCCTTTTTTAATATGGTTTGTACAATAAAATATATTTAGGTCTATGTGTCATGTAGAGGTTTCCTTTTTAAGCAAATAGTCTACTGCATCTTTGCCCGAAATTTCCTTATAACCTGGAACCAACATATCGTCTGGCTATTTGTTGATGACAGTATTTTTTTAGGGTTTTTAGGTGGATCCAAACAAATGTGGAGACGTTCTCGCAGGCTTGACAAGTCTTTAGAACTGCCTGGCCGAGTATTTTCTGACAAAAAAATAAGTTTTTATAATGATTGTAAGAGAGGAATGTGGTTTTTCTTTTGCCCCAAAATCAAAATTTTATTTTCTCCCCGTGAGTGCTTCCCCCCCCCCAGTGGCGAGTGTCCGCCATGGAATAAAGTAAATAATTTTTTTATAGAAAATATTATACTACTTTTCTCTCATATATTAATTTATTTATTTATTTTTATCAAATTTATTTAGAGTACAAAGAAGAATATACTTTTAGTTAAAGGAGTTCCCCATTACTCTGGAGGCATAAAATGGGGTGGCGCCCAACTCACCAATATTTCTCTGGCCTTTAATATTTCTTTTATTTATTTATTTTTTTTATTTGGTAAATTGTCCCTCCGTTCTTCTCCTCCCCACTCACGACGAACTACCGGGATAATTTTGCTCTGACCCGAAATAATTTTGGGTGTAACAATTTTTACTGTTGTTGTTGCCGGGACCTTCTTGTAATTATCTGACTACTCATTGTGTTTAATTTCTGTTTTCGCCTCTTGATTTTTTTAAAGGGGTCTTCTTTTCCCGTTTTCGTCCTCGAACACGAAACATAGAAGAATCTCTGTTTGTGTGGAATCGCCGAACGATTTTTATTAACCCACTATATTTAATTTTAAAACAGTTATTTCGACAATAATTTAATATACGTTCAAAGAAAAGCCCACACAGGATTAGTAATGCGATCTAGCGGACGATGTTGTAACTCCACTGATTGGATGTGAGGCCGGTAGATGGCGGGAGAATCCATTTCTTGAAGAAGAACTTTAATGGGAAGAAATGGATCCCCCCCCCAGCATGCTAACCCAAGGACTTATTAGTTATAGTTGCAAACACATATTATTTTAATATCATTTGTTACGACGTTACAATTAAAATTATATTAATGTAAAAACATAAAAATAATAATTATGTGTGGTGATTAGTGACCGTTAGTCGTTGATTATTCGAAAATCCGTGAGATGCGGTCTGGTGTGACGTGGGTTTTAGAAAAAACATTTTCTTTATCGTGCCAACGTTCGATCTTTATTGAGAACATCTTCAGGGCCTGGGATTTACAAACTTGTTTACATTTAACAAATACATGTAGGATGTGGAAAAAAGTGAATTTATACATTGCAAAATAAATTTTTTTTTTATTCAATCAAAGTATTTCTTTTTTCAATTTTAAGTATTCTTGCATGTCGTGTTGAGAGCGCCAGTGAGATATTGCTGTTTTATGTTTATATATGTTGGATTTTGAAGGGGTGGGGAAGGTAGTCGGTGTAGAAAAGACATTTTTGTGTAAGGCGTCGGCTTCTTTGAGGTGAAAAGACGCGAAAGAATGGTTCAATTACGCAGAAAACAAACACTGAGTGAGTAGAAATACTTTGATTGAATATAAAAAAATATTTTTTGCATTGTGTAAATTCACTTTTTTCCACATCCTACATGTATTTGTTAAATTTAAAAAATCCCAGGCCCTGAAGATGATCTCAATAAAGATCGAAACGTTGGCACGATAAAGAAAATGTTTTTCTGAAACCTACGTCACACCAGACCACATCTCACGATTTCCGAATAATCAATAATAATTATGTTAACATTAATGCAAAAATATAGCAAGTAACCTGCAGGTAAATGTTTTCTTCTACAGTCAGTAATGAAAAATTATTAAAAAGAAAACGATCTTATATGTACGATATTTTTGTGGGTTTCCGTAAGGGGTTTGATTCTTTGCCTCGTGAAAAATTATGGGAAAAATTATATAGATTAAACATTAATTGGAAGTTATCAGGTATTAACGGCTACATACGGCTAAAATGTTTCTCTAAACGGTGGAATATATCCGAAGGATTTGACGATCGGGTTTGAAGAAAAAACCCAATTACGATCACTTGCAGTGCTTTCGGCCTTTATAAAGACATCCTCAGGGCTTAAACATTTACACCTATATTAAAAGATACATTTGTATAAATTACCATTACTACAATTTAGGAATTTAACGACTCGAACATTTACTTACGTAAACAGATTGAAATTAGACATATTTTGGCAAGTGTGTGGGGTTGGATTGCAGGTACCTTATGGTTGTAAACTAAACGTTTAATTTCGGCTCTCAATCTGAAATACTTAACACCAGATTACATCATATAATAAGAATGTTTTTTATTAATTTAAAATAGTTCGTTTTAGTTAATTAAAGTGGATTACCGCGGATAAGTGTAGAGTTCTGTATGTTCAGTTCTACAAGTGTGCAAGAAGTGCAATACCTTCTCCCCGCGTACTGTTTTCGACTGTCTACACTTTTACTACACTACTAATAATTATGATTCTCGGGCACCTGCTTTTGGGCCAAAGCACGCGCAGGTGCCATTATACAGAGAATGGTTGCTCGATGTGTCCCAAATAATAGAGGCGTGTCGTGCCTTGGCTCCATACATAGAGCGCGTAGGCATGCCGCCGGATTTAAGAATGGTTCCCGGACACGGTAGCGAGTTTGCCCTGTTCCGCTTTTTAGGAGAATTGATATATTTGTAGTATACAGTCGTCAAAATATGTGTTTTGTGTTTCTGCGTTTTGTATGAAGGAGTGTATTTATTAGCATGAATGGGGAGGGGCTAATGGTGGAATATTTATACTACCTCATCGACCCCAATTAGATTAGTTTGTTATTGTATGCAGGTCGATGGAGGAATATTGAGTACTCCATCTACCAAATAGAATGAATGAATTTTTTTTTTAAATGATAATAACCGAGTACTTAACATAACCATAAAATAAACATATCCACATCAATTATACATATTGGTACATAAAGATATGAGTAGTACAATAATGATCTTAAAACTAGCTTGACTGTAAACATAATAAACAAACTTAATATAAAACAAAAGAAAAGCGAACGACTATACTCCTGGTCATCTGGACTGTCTTGACAATAATTCATGAAAAAATGTACAGCTAATAAAGTAATCACAAAGTAATACATGTATTACCAAATTAAAGGAAAAAAAGAAACAAATAAATAAGATTCTTGTAATAGTTAAAGTTTAAGTTAAAGTTGTACACTTCTATATTGAACTAAATGTTTTGCAAAAACTATTATCTTTAAGATAAAGTTTATAAATATTTAAAACCTACTTAGTTAAACAAGTCCCTAATTTAAATTTTCGTAATTAAAACAGGCGGACAATTAAGTTTTAATTTATATAATTATAAAATTTAAAACCAGAAACCAGACCTTCAAATCTTATTCTTTCCATGGTTGATCAGCGTAGTCTACACATTTCCAAAGGAGTCATGCATTGGGAAAAATTGAGTTTGTTTTTGTTTTCATGTACTATTGCCAACTAGGCAGAATTCCTTATAACAATGTTTTAATGATTGGAGCAAATAATGTGTGCCAGATACAAGATCTAATATCCTAAAGGGTAAAAATAGTTGATATAATTAAACAATTGGAAGTTCACTATCTTTCACTTGGCATAGAGAAAAGAGTAATTTTTTAAATTTAAATTTATTTGTTACCATTACATGGCCGTATAGTGTACAAATATGGACACCCGATTAATGTATCACACAGCCCAACGCTACTACCAATGCCAGACGGTTGAGGTGATGTGGCGGGTTGTCAAGATGGAAATGAATGGAGAGTGCTCGAGCAGTATGGTTAGGATGGTTCGAAAGGTTGATGTGGAAGCTTTGGAATCTCGACCGGATTAGTTCGTATACAAAAGGAATTCTGAGGTCTTCGTTAAACATTCAATTAAGCGTAAACCCTATTTAATAATTATTCAGAATTCGTGAGATGCGGTCTGGTGTGATGTAGGTTTCAGAAAAACATTTTTTTTATTGTGCCAACGTTTCGATCTTTATTGAGATCATCTTTAGGGCCTGGG